TCAATAAATCTTGAAACGGAAGAAGAACAAAAGTAAGTCCTTGACGGTAGGGGAAAGTTTGCGAATGCGCTGAAGCGGTATTTCTGGTTTACTTTTGTTCTTCTTCCGTTTCAAGATTCATTGGAGTACCCTACAGACCGAAACGTGCTGCGCCATTTGATGCACAAAACGCGGTTCTCTTCGGCAACACTACTCGCCCGCTTATCAGTTCGTCTAGTCGGAGTTACCGACAACGACCAGCTCAGAACTCGACACTCCAAAGTCTTACCGCACACTAAACTTCTTACGGATACATCCTATCTGTATTACGGACATTTTTGTGCAATCGCAATTACGGATAGATTTTGCTTGTAATACGGATGAAATCATCCGTATTACAAAGAGTTTAACGTCCGTACCAAACGGATATTTTCGTCTGTATGTTACGGACACGAAAACCTTTGTATTACGGATAAAATCATCCGTATTACAACCAAAATCCATCTGTAATTACGCTTGCACAGAACCGTCCGTATTGCGGATACATGGTGTCCGTAAGGAGTCTTGAGTGCGGGCAAGGGGTTAGTACGTTACGGACAGCTCTTTGCAGCCAAATTACCCTCCAAAAAAAGTATGCGAAGCATCTCCTTCCTACACTGACAATCCAAACGCCATGAGTAGCTTGAATTGGCGCAATGCAATAGCATCGCACATTAAGCGCAATGCCTCCCCACACACTGAACTTCTTACGGATACATCCTATCTGTATTACGGACATTTTTGTGCAATTGCAATAACGGAAAGATTTTGCTTGTAATACGGATGAAATCATCCGTATTACAAAGAGTTTTACGTCCGTAACATACAGACGAAAATATCCGTATGGTACGGACGTAAAACCCTTTGTAATACGGATGATTTCATCCGTATTACAAGCAAAATCTATCCGTAATTGCAATTGCACAAAAATGTCCGTAATACAGATAGGATGTATCCGTAAGAAGATTAGTGTGCACTCCCATGCATAAGCATAGGGCATTTTCACGACGCATTGCACCCAAGGTGACATATGGCTGAGGCATTGCACGCATAGTGCGATATCTCAGCTGCATTGCACCATACGTGCTATACTCACAGCGTTTGGAATCTCAGTGTAACCACGAAGAAATGGACGCAGTGTGTAGAAGTGCTTCGTATGACGAAGGGCTCCGCTTCTTGATACGAAATATTTGAGAGTAGATCTAAGAATGCCTTCGTTATCTTGGCATCGGGTATTCTAACGAATCCCTAGATCCGGAAGTCAAGGAACAAAAGTAAGAACCGAAACGCTTCTGCGCATGCACAGAAGCTGTTTTGGTTCTTACTGTTGCTCTTTGACTTCCGGTCCAGGGATTCGTTCGCATACCCTATTACGGAGCAATTCTTTGTTGACTGTTTTCAGTGCGGATGAAATCTGCACAGGTAGACAGGCGAATGTTTTGGTTCGTATTACGAAAGTGTTGGCGTCCTTGAGTGACGGACATCAAACTTTTTGGTAAAAACCAACATAAACATTGGCACGATGGAGTGAAGCCCGTCCGTGTTCTCTCTCTCTCTCTCTCTCTCTCTCTCTCTCTCTCTCTCTCTCTCTCTCTCTCTGGAAAAAGAGAGGGAAAGAGAAAGAGAAAAGAGAGGATCCTCAAAACTATCCGTAGCGTACGAACCCTGTGTCCGCAAGGACCTGCACACTAAACTTCTTACGGACACATCCTATCTGTATTACGGACATTTTTGTGCAATTGCAATTACGGATAGATTTTGCTTGTAATACGGATGAAGAGTTTTACGTCCGTAACATACAGACGAAAATATCCGTATGGTACGGACGTAAAACTCTTTGTAATACGGATGATTTCATCCGTATTGCAAGCAAAATCTATCCGTAATTGCAATTGCACAAAAATGTCCGTAATACAGATAGGGTGTATCCGTAAGAAGTTTAGTGTGTGAGTATGTGCACTCAAAATCCCCGTCTGAACTCTCACAACAACTAGACTAACTGCACTCTCATTCCAGGAACGTGACATCACGTTGAAACGAACGTGACAAAGTGTCACGTACGTTTGAGCATTGTGTCACGTTTGTTTGAATGTGAACGAGCTGATTTTCGGCCAATTCACACCCAAACGAATGTGACACAATGCTCAAACGAACGTGACAGTTTGTCACGTTCGTTTCAACGTGATGTCACGTTCCTGGAATGAGAGTGTGACTGCTGTAGCGAGAACCTGGCGCCGCAGCAGGCGACTGATGGGACACGACAGAAGGAAGACAGACAAGAAAACTGACTGATCCGATCCGACCGTTAGCGACAGGCTGGATGGCTTGAGGAGCGAGCCATGCCACTTCTAGGCTGCAGCCTTGCCGCTGCTGAGTGTCGTGAGCCCAACAACTGGCAAAGAAACTTTTCCGAGTGCGTAGAGAACCCTCTGGAATGCCCGAGAGAGTCCTTCCAGGGCACCCGGGTAGAGGGACTTCCCGGAGGAGGTGGCGACGTGAGCCCTGCCCACCGCGAACCCACCCGATCGTGCTGGCCGGCGGCGTGCTGCAGGAATTTCCCCAATTCCCCACCGAAACCCTCCGCTGTGCCTGGCGACTCGAGTGCCGACCAAACGTGTTGGTCGAAATTTAGACAGGATTCGAGGTTTCCAACTTTACGCACGACTTTACTGCAAAGCCGGTGGCAAGTTTGCTTGCTACAAAAGTGACAAGCCGTTTTGATGCCAAAAATTGCCCTGCCTGACCCTGAAATACTTGCCAAAATTGGGCATTTTAGGCGGTCGAAGCGCCAATTATTGGCAAGCTGATACAGATTTCAGGTCAAGGTTTGCCAATTTTTGCCATTCAAAACTGTTTGGCAGCTTTGTGGCTAGCTAACTGAGCATCGGATTTGCAGTGTCCTTGCACTTTGGACAAGTTTGCAAAGGTGTACGCAGGACAGTGTGCGAAGAGTTCAAAATCGCCAACAATGCCAAAAATTTGCATCTAAATGTGCCAGTAAATTTTCTGTGCCGGGAGAGACCACCCTCGATGGCGATCGGTGCCGCCTATGACCGAGCTCCAGGACTGCAGCTGCCTAAGAAAAACAAATAAACAAGCACCACATTTTAATTTTTTTCCATGGAAAGTCTCCTTGTAAGTCTCTTAAATTTTATCAATGTACAAAAGGAGGAAAACTAAAAGGCCCCTATTCTTTACTGAAAAGAAGAAAATACTGCAGACTTCAAAAACTGAGATATTGTTAAACCAAAATATCTTGGATGTTTCAATCTAGAGTTCTGATAAATGTCGCAGAAAAGGTAGGCTGAAGGACGGAGCAAGAGAGCGGCAAATGGAAACACAGAAAAAGAAATTAGCAAATGTATTAGGCCAAAGAAAAAGAACTCCAGAGAAGTTTGTGCTTGGACCACAAATTTAACTCAACATGAGATAAAACTACTTGGGTTTTACGTTTCCATACCTGTGCAGCAATTTCCTTGTTGCAGTGCGAGAACCCATTTGCTTTGGTTGTAAGCACTCGGACACCAGCATTGCAGCAATTGCAGCATGCTTGCGCCTCACCAGCAGTGTTAGAGGAAGCTGAAAACAATACAAGGATAAACTAATACCAATCATTTTATCAGCAGGGATAAGAACAATTACGTGAAGTGAGGTGGTATCAATCAGCCTATCAGATAGCTCTCAGAGCAGAAGGACTTTATAACGGGGAGGAAAGGGTTGTTTCTGGGACAACAAACTCAGGCTTTTGTAGCCCATGGGCTAGAAATTCGTTTTAAGTTCAGCTAAATACCTCAGCCACATGGTGAGCCGCTAGGCCAAAGTTATCCAGGTAAACCAAGTAACCCCAGTTTACGACAATTGGGATGTTCCTTTCACGTTGAAATCAAGCAGAGATTCTTTAAGAAATTGTAAAAACATGAACTTAGGTGTCGGTTTAGGGTCCCTTGCAAATAAAACTCAAACAACGTGAAAAATCCGAACAAAGAGGGTTAAAGGCTCACTCCCCGGTCGCCACTACTTGGCTGCGCTCAGCAAGCCCGTCGACGCGAAACATGAGATAAAACAATGCTACGCTAAAATGTTACCTTCAAGAACGCCAATCCGAGGTACAAAATGGAATGCGAAGCCGCGATGGTGCGGAAGGTCCTTCTAGAAGGATCTCGAGCAAGTCAAGCCGGAGGACAAAGACAAACAGCTGCGTTTTCGCTCGCACGCGGTACGGCGACGCACCGCCTTGTGGAAATGCTCGCTGCCAAATCGCTCACTTCCAGAGGGCGCTGGTTTCTTCCAAAGACGTTTATTTAGTGCTTCCTTTCACACATTTGGGATGAATATGATAATATGAAGTGGTTTTTCTGAAACATGGAATAGAAAATTGAAGAATTTGTCGTGTTTTTTGTTCTTTTTGGGGGCCGTCAATCTGCCTTATAAACTTCTCACACATGAAATTTTCATACCCGAGAGTTGTTTTTGTTTGCAGGAAGATGGCGCGTGTAGCAGAACATTGTCAGTGAAGTGCTTTAGTGCTTTGTTGTGGATTTAACGGAAAACGATACAGAAACCAGCCATCACCGAAACTTACTGATAGATTAAAGTCTCCCTTCGCCTCCCGTTCAGGATCTGCGTCAAAGGAAGACATTGCCGCGTTAGATTGCATTTGGAAAGGTATGTTGCTAACGTGCAGAGGGTGTGCATCTGTCCGTCTTAGTGATGTTCTCCTTACAAATAAGAATCTTGATAGATCTGTTTCCTCTAACGGCAAGTAGCTCAGCCATGAGCCGATTCACATTCATTTAAATAGATCCCAAAGTACGAATAGCTCGTTGGTTAAAGTAGCTGTGGGCTTCGCGATTCAAAATTTTGTCTCACAGAGTCCTCCTCTTAATTTCTCCCAAAGAAATTAAAAAATAGTGAGTCTGCTTCAACTTTATGGCTTCGAATTAACTCTGTTTGACTCATCTCTCATTTCAACTCACAAATTTATCTCTCAACTTTTGATGCTCTTAGAGCGTGCTAATTCTTATGTCTTAGTGACAGAGAGCAACAACTCCAAAGCCAATGTGTGGTATCAGACTTGGAAAGTGTTGTGCAGTGTGGAAATAACACTTCCATAACTTTTTGTTAGCATCAATTCAATATTAATTATCGTTTTGTGAATCGTTATCACTCCATTATTACAATTTTGCCATCCTCCAATAAATTATGGGTCATGATGTTATTGGATTCACTTAAGTGAACACCACTTAAACAATCCAGTGTTAACGTGAATCTTGGCTTTGGTTTCTTTGACGGGAACTTATGGCAAACGCAGGTTTCAATTGTGTCAATGTTATGGTTCAAGCCCAAGATAAATACAACCCGGGTTTGTTCCGATAAGGTAAACACAATGTGGTCATGTAACTGTTTTTCAATGAAAGCTAAGTTATTTACTTCAGTATCTTGCATTATCCTACCTAAGTTAGAAGCCAATCTAGATTCTGAAAACATGGAGAGCAGCAAACTGCGAGGAAATCTTGACATTCTCAGAAAAATTTCTTACATTCGGAAAGTTATTCATTTATCATTTTGAAACTGCTGAGGGCTGAAAATTGCTTAAGTTCCAGGGTCACTTGTGTGATCAAAACTTTGTGTTTTCTTAGTGCAAAATGTTCTTGCTCGGTGACTGCTCTTTGCAAAGAAATAGCCTCTTCAATTTAAAAGAAATTTTTTCGTAGAATAATACTTTAAGTTTGTAAAAATGGAAACCTCAATGTGAACTATCTCTGGTATGTAAAAGTAGTCCTCAAGTCGTGTTGATCATCTTCAAAATAAAATAGTTCTTACCGCTCCAACTTATTATTTCTGGCAAGGTTGAGGGGCATTGCTTCTTTATCATATTTCTCAAATGATGTGCACCACAGGACATCCCATGAGTAATGAGATCTTATTCACGAAGGTTTCTGTTTTTTAACAATGTAATTTGGGTGTTAGCTTTTGTAAAACTTGAAACAAGCTTCAAAATAAAGCAATTCTGCAGTTGGAAGTTGTGCTGCCAGTAGTATTTTTTGCTAACAGTTGTAGGTCACTGTGTACTCTGGATCACATTATGATTCTTTCTACCAGCATTGTTTGCTTTCCATTGTAGTTTTCAAGAGCTTTGAATCTTTCAGAAGCTTTGGCTAAAAGCACGAACTGCAAAGCAGAACTGGCTCTAAAGGGCAAAGTAGTTTACTTTTTACTTGTTTGGTACAATGAAGTATTAGGCAGAAATGTTTACCTTAAAAAGTTGGCTGAGGTAATTCTAGAAGTGCAGCAGGGTGAATCACTTGATAGTTAATTTGAATGAAGTAAGTTACTAGAAAACTTAATACAGCATCTTTGCCCTCTTGACATTGTTCAGTATGGTGCATTGGTAGTGAAAGTTACCTATTATACACTCTCATTCCAGGAACGTGACATCACGTTCCTAGAATGAGAGTGTATCTGCTCATGGCAGAGTTTGTGACATAAACATTTGTGCTTGTTTGTGCAAAACAGAAACTCCCACTGCCGTGGTCACTTAACACCAAAAATAATCACCACCTTTTTAGTTTTAATTCTCTTTCTTGTTTTTTAAGTTGTCTTACCCAAGGTCACCTATTTCATATCTTTGCCCTTGTGGTCCTTTGAATAATATAGTAGGATAACGCATTCAAAATTCAGATCAATCCATGAAGCGGTTTGCTTAAAATGCTGCCAAAGTGAGTTAACGTAGCCCCAACTGGAACGCTTGAGTTTCTAAGCGTAAAGTACATCAATATGCATTCTGTTAGCTCCAATGAATACCTACTTTAATCTACTTTAAACAACTTAAACGCAGCAGATTAAATGTCTGACAAATTACAATTGGTCATAAAAAGTTTGTTTTTTTTTGGTTTAGCTCTCAAAAATTAAAACTGCTTGTAACTTGAGCGTTTCCCATATTGTTTATAAGTCAGTTTGTTAGTATTTTTGTTGCTGGTTTTCACCTTTCATGTACCTCTTGCTGAAAAAATATAAATTTAAAATTTTAAAGTTATATAATTTTACTCTCCTGTATCTTTAAAAGGTTTTTGATACTCTTGAATGGGGGTTTGTCACACAGGAATTTTCTTAGTATTTAGCAGAAATTAGCTAGCTTTTTTGGAGTTTGGTCAACTGATCCCTCACAATTATCGGTTTGAATTAGATTATCTTCTGTTGCATTTCGAGTGCCATATGCAAAACTTGTAGACACCATTTCCACTTCTCTTATCACTGACCGTTTCCAGAGGTTCACTGATTTTCCTTACAACGATATCATTAAACTAGTTGATGACATAATTGCCATGCCCATGCAAAAAGTATGGAGCTGGGATGAAAATCTCATCAATTTGTCGTGAGACTGTTGTTATTTCCAAGTGATGAATATATCATTCACGAGTTTGTCATAAAATTTTCAGAATTTTCAATGTTGCTAACTTTGCTTCTCTTGTTTTTTCAGATGGATCCTCTGACAGTGCTGCCGGTGGAGCTGGTGCGGATGTTGGTGCAGCTGCTGGCCCCCAGGGACCTGCTGGCGCTGTCCACCATGTCGCGGGCCTGGCGCCTCGCGGTCAAGGACCCGGCCTTGTGGGACGCGGTGCGGCTGCGGTTCCCCGGCGACCATCCGGGATTGCTGCGCTTCGCGCCCGCCATCGCCGACCTGGAGCTGGTGGTGGCAGACCTCAAGCCGCGGCACCTCGACGCGCTGCTGGCCGGAAACGCCGCGGTGAGTACGCAGCAAATGTCTCTGCACAATTTTGGGCTCTCAAAAAAGTCTACACTGGTGAAACAAAGCCATGAAAACTATGCGCTTGCAGGCCATAAACGATTTTCACCCCCTGGAACGGTGTAAATCGCACGTTAAAAACCTTACGAAGTATTTTTAGCATAGTACTTAGTACAAATAATTTGCTTCGTTATACGAAGTAATAGTTCGTAAATTACAAGGTATTTTCTTTGTAAGCTTATGGGGGCTCATACATGTTAAAAGCACTTTCCTAAAAAAAAATTTTGATGTAGAGGGATTAAGATTTTACAATTTCTGTGTTAAAATCCTTTTAGATAATTGAGTAAGCTTCATTTTGGCTCAAGGGAAAGTGACTTTGGACATTTTTTAGAGATTTAGTCGAAACGTTTAAAATTTTGCTTCTCGTAAGATTTTGTTCGCATACTTGCTCAGATCTGTGGGGAAAAAATCAGGGAGACTCATCCCCAGTAGTGTCATAGAATTGACTACAATGGGCTTTATATCTGCAATTGTTTTCAAGAAAAAAAATAAAAACAATTTTTTGTTAAAAAAATTGTTTAAAAAATTGTTTAAAAAATTGTTTTTATTTTTTTTCTTGAAAACAATTGCAGATATAAAGCCCATTGTAGTCAATTCTATGACACTACTGGGGATGAGTCTCCCTGATTTTTTCCCCACAGATCTGAGCAAGTATGCGAACAAAATCTTACGAGAAGCAAAATTTTAAACGTTTCGACTAAATCTCTAAAAAATGTCCAAAGTCACTTTCCCTTGAGCCAAAATGAAGCTTACTCAATTATCTAAAAGGATTTTAACACAGAAATTGTAAAATCTTAATCCGTCTACATCAAATTTTTTTTTTTAGAAAAGTGCTTTTAACATGTATGAGCCCCCTTAAGTATGCTCAAAATACTTTGTTATAACAAGCTGCTTTTCTCAGTAAGGCCTAAAATAGTTGGTAAGGTTTTCTCAGTGCGTGTAATGCCCTTGGCAAGGGCGTGAATCGGTATGACTTCCACGCATGCCGTAACGGTTTGCGCCTGGGCGAACGTGAATCGGGAAAGACTATTTACGCCTTTAATTAAGGACGTTGTGTTTATGCATTTGTTTGACCGGTTTACGAAGCATCTGCTTTGTATATACGAAGGGAATGAAAGCATTGTAGGATTGCTTCGTAGAAGAAATGCTTCGTTTTACGAAGAAGAACTGTACGTAGATTTGACAGTGCCCTCATTTTCTTCGGTGAGTTTTTACTGTTTAGATTTTCCAGGGCCCTCATTTTCTCGTATTACAATAAGCGATGCTTTTTAGCCGTTTTTCTCTGTACTTAGCCTATCACTCAATTTTCTGCATGACTTTGTCATCTCCAGCTGCATGGCTACAGCTGAATAAATGCGCATCTACTACTGTGGGCTTGAAGCAGGCGTGCATCCATTGGGAGAAAAAAAGCATGGAACAAGTCAGGTCAACAATTTGCTTGAGCCGTCCGTAGTCCGTACTTAATTACCATACCGGTTTACATGAGTTTGTAGAGCAGGTGTGGACGTTCCGTACTTCTGCGTTTCCGTACGCTATTCCTCTGTACATAGTAAAAAGTCTAAGGAGCATTGCGTCACGAAGAAAACGAAGGCATTGTAAAATCTACCGAGAAATGCTCCATTGAACGAAAATAGGAAAATTCTAAAATCCTCCTAAATACGCAGCATCTTTTCGTAACATGCAGTCATTTTCTTTGTGGTTTCAGAGCAGGTGATTAAAACTTAACGAAGTATTTAGAGCATGTGTAAGTTTCAAACTTTTTATTTTGTCATGCGAAGACGTCGTTAGTCAATTATGAAGTATTTTCTTTGAAAGCTTGTGTATGCTCAAAACACTTTTTTATGTCAAGCTACTTTTCTTCGCAAGTCCTAGTTTGTACGGTTTTGAGTCGTGTAAGTCACGATTTCAGGCTATTGATCTCCGCCGTTTTCTTTGGACTCTTCAGATCCAGCGTCTGACCTGCTTGCCGAGTGGTGGCGGTGCCGCCGGCCAAGAAGAGAAAGGTGCCAACGCCGCCACACTGGTGCGAATCCTGCAACGGGTGTCGCAATCGTTGCGCGGTCTGTCCGTCCTGTGCTACGTGGAAGAACACTCCCTTGTTTCAGCGACCCGAGAGAGAGTGCTTCAGGTATTAACATTCATAAAAATAAAAAAATAGCCAAAATTGACAATAACGGAGATTTTAATGTTTTAAGGGGAGGTTCTGGTGAAAATCTTGCCATTTTCCAAATGGATCCCACTGTCATAATTTGTTCGGAATATAAAATCTTTCTATGAGGACACTAAAATTAGATTTTTGAAAGCACATCCCAGGCTCTAAACCCAGTCGAAGAGTCTTTTTGAGCCTATTTTGGCTGCATCTTAAAAAATCTCCTTGCGCAAACTATTTTGTCGTAAAAGGTTGACCTTTCCATTTCTCACTTCTTCGATTCATTTTTAAAAGATGCCGGCATGCACAATTGAAAATGTCCATTACAGTATTAATGGTAAGCTTTTTAAGCTGAAAAGTCCCTAAAATTTGACTATTTTGTACATTTTTGACCAATTATAGTGAAATGCTTGGCTAGAAAGCTTGCGAATAAAAATGTAATTTACATTTTGAGTTGTGCATGCCGGCATCTTTCAAAAATGAATCGAAGAAGTGAAAAATGTCAAGGCCAAGCTTTTACGACAAAATAGTATGCGCAAGGAGATTTTTTAAGATACAGCCAAAATAGGCTCAAAAAGACTCTTCGACAGGGTTCAGGGCATAAAATGTGCCTTCCTAATGAAAAATTTTAATAATTACTTGGTAAGACATCAAATTTTTAACTAATTTTCATAGTGGGACTCATTTAGAAGAAAATAGCATTTTCACCAGAACCTCCCCTTAAGTTTAAAATGTGCATAAAAGTTTTCACATTCAGGGGTTTCAACATTTGAGTGGCTCAACTCTTGACCATTTGAAAAGCATCAACTAAAATCTCATTTGTGTCATTAGCTAAAACGCTTCACTTCACTGCCATATTTAGTCGACATATATTTTTGTCGTAGAAAGTCTTCCTGGGTTCCTAGTCGTTCCTAGTTCAGACAAACAGGAGTTGCTTGCAAGCAAACTTGTTAACAAGTCATCAAAGAATCCAATCCAAGCAAGATGACTTGACAAATTTTATTGAAGATTTCGTAATAACAGTCTCACTTTTGATTACAGACACATAAAAGTTCGGAAAAAGGCAAAACCTTCACATTTTAAAATGACTGAAAGTTTAAAATATCTATATCAGAACAGGAATTGAATTTCGAAACTGCCTCAATGTATCAATCTATTGTATACATCTCAAGGGGGCAATACACTGAAAATGGCCAAAAACTGAGTTGTGTGATTGCTTCCAAACGCGTTGTTCAGCGTTGTTCAAACTTTTCATGTGTCAATACCTTACAAAAAGAAGCATTTTAAGCCCAGAATGGCATCGATCGGACGTCAGGGAGCGGAGCAGCGCCCAATCAAATTTTCGTCTAAAGTCGAACTGGCGGGCGTCCCTCAGTCCGCAAAAATGAAGATATCTCGACCCCGTTTGCGCCAAAATGTAGGTAATTGAAGCGGCTATAGCGCAAACTAGGATTATGAACATCGAGCAACCGAAAGTACAAAATTTCATCCAAAAACAGTTTTTGAGGATTTTGCAAAAATGATCAAAACAGGTTCTTTCATAAAATTTTGTACTTTTGATTGTTCGATGTTCATAATCCTAGTTTGCGCTATAGCTGCTTTAATTACCGACATTTTGGCGCAAACGGGGTCGAGATATCTTCATTTTTGCGGACTGAGCGACGCCCGCCAGTTCGATTTTTGACGAAAATTGGATTGGGCGCTGCTCCGCTCCCTGACGTCCGATCGACGCCATTCTGGGCTTAAAATGCTTCATTTTGTAAGGTCTTGACACATAAAAAGATTGAACAACACTCAACAACGCGTTTGGAAGCAATCGCACAAGTCAGTTTTTGGCCATTTTCAGTGTATTGCCCCCTTAAGAATAACTCAAAAAAATTTGCAAAACTTTCCCTTTTAAGGGGAGGTTCTGGTGAAAATCTTGCCATTTTCCAAATGGATCCTACAGTCATTTGGGGGGACTAAAATTTGACTTTTGAAGGCACATGCCAGGCTGTAAACCCAGTCGAAGAGTCTTTTTGAGCCTATTTTGGCTGTATCTTAAAAAATCTCCTTGCGCATACTATTCTGTCGTAAAAGGTTGACCTTGACATTTTTCACTTCTTCGACTCATTTTCAAAAGATTCCGGCATGCATAGCTCAAAACTTCCATTATATTATTAACTGTAAGCTTTTTTAGCTGAAAAGTCCCTAAAATTTGTCTATTTTGTACATTTTTGATCAATTTTAGTGAAATGCTTGGTTAGAAAACTTGCGAATAAAAATGCAATTGACATTTTGGGATGGGCATGCCGGCATTTTTTAAAAATGAATCGAAGAAGTGAAAAATGTCTAAGCCAACCTTTTACGACAAAATAGTATGCGCAAGAAGATTTTTAAAGTTATAGCCTAAATGGGAGAAAAAGGCTCTGCGACTGGATTCAGGGCATAGAATGTGCCTCCCCAATGAAAAATTTTAATAAATACTTGATAAGACATCAAATTTTTAACAAATTTTCACAGTGGGACCTATTTAGGAGAAAATAGCATTTTCACCAGAACCTCCCCTTAATTAAAGATTTAGGAAGATTTTATTTATTGGCTAACATTCTAGAACATACTAGTAAAGTGGGACTTCTCTTCACCTAACATTTTGGGTTGAATTATGTTTTGGGTACTCACCACACTTGACCTAATTCAACAAAGTTTCAACTTTTTGGGATATTTTAAAGCCTTCATGCCAATTTCACTAGGCTCCGCTCTGAAGGTTATTGTTAAATGAAAAAAGTGGCTATTTGACATTTTTGAATACTTGTGTCAGATGTCTCAATTTAGGGGTTAAAGTTCCTTTCTATTACATAAACTCACACTAACACCGGGGCCCCAACTCCTATTAGTTTCTAAGTTATGGAGGTATACTTTTAGTCATTTCTCCTTCTCCCAAATTCTCGTCACGACAAACGATTAGCTTCCCAGTCTTCAGACTCTGGCAATATTATCTTTTTTTGAATAGGAAAAATATATCGTTGCCCTTTTTTGAATTCCTGCCTTAGTTTTCCTCAAAAACTAAAAGCAAGACTAAAATGGGTCAAAATCTCTCAAATTTGAAGAAAAATAAAAAAGGCCTGATAAAATAGCTTATACAGCGTCTGTTCGACTGATATCTTCAAATGTGCCAAAGCTATCTTTTTTCTTAGCAAAAATGGATAAAAGTGCCAGAATCTGCAGACTGGGTAGCTTATCCTTTGTTGTGATGAGAATTCGTGAGAAAGGACTAAAAGTTAACGTAAACCTCCCTAACTCAGAAACTAATAAGAGTTGCGGCCCCAAACTTTGGGAATAAATTCAGTTAATAGTGGTTGAATTTTTACCGCAAAATGATCTTTCTGTGACAAATATTTCTCGGACATGCTAGTTTCACTTCACGTTATCCTTAAGAACTGCACTTCAAATTTTATATGCGTTGGAACTTGGCGCCTTTGTCGCCTGCACCAGGTTTTAGGGCACTAAGTGGCGCCTCCTTTACGGGCAACATCATTCAGCAAGTGCAGAATGAAAACGAAGTTGTGCATTCTCATAATTATGTAGTGCACTTTTTGAACATGCATAGTTGTTGGAAGTAACGTAACGTCTTGTGAACCTGACAACGCCCAAGTTGTTGTGTTAAGGGGCAGGCTGTTGTAAAAAATCAAGCGTCCCTGCAAGGTTTCAGGTATTCTAACATAATTTCAAGAAACCTGCAGTTCAGGAATTTTGTCAGACTTTCTTCAAATCAATAACTCAAGAGCTAATGTTGTGGTCCTGCATAGCATGTGTCTTAGACCCCTTCTCCTTCACTGCGGCCCTCTCGTTGCAGATTATCGTCGCCATGCCGCGGTTGCGTGAACTGAGGATGGGCGATATGAACTTCGCCTTGGACAGGTACCCTAAACGTCCGCCGGTTCCAGTGCCAGTTCAGGGCACCCTGGAGAAGCTGTGTGTCGAGGGGGAACCTCGTGACTGCTGGGCTAAGACAGTGCTCAACCTGCTGCGAGCGCACCGAACCAGTCTGCGCTCCCTCGAGCTTCACGAGATCGAACCAATGGACGGCAAGGTATGCACTTACGTTAGGACAAGAAAATCACTACGAGGGGGTATGCATGCACCATCAAAGCCTGTGACTCGACTTACGCCTATTACACTGGTAGCCAACGAATGTGACGTCCGTTGGAGTGTTAATTTTGTCACGTACGTTTGAATATGACGTCACATTTGTTTGAACGTGACTCGGCCGTTTAAGAAGGGTGTCACATTCGTTTGAATGTTGATCAACATTTCAAACGAATGTGACATCATATTCAAACGAACGTGACAAAATTCACATTCGTTGGTTACCAGTGTACGCCTTGAAGCGTATCAGTCGGGTCACTGATCACTCTGTCTGCGATGTTCTCTAATTTTACCCATGTTTGGGGTGTTTTGGAGTGTTTTCACCTAAATCCCAACTATTTTTAGGCGTAGCGCAATAGTCGAGTCTCAGGTTTTGAGAGTACACCCCGCCTCGCCTCTAAATTATCGGGATTTGGCTAAAAACAGGTTAAAACAACCCCGAAACGGATAAAATTGGGAGAATTTATGCTATCACGCAGACTATTACGCGTTAGTGCGCACCCTCTCGAATAGGCTCATTTAAGGGGAGGTTCTGGTGAAAATCTTGCCATTTTCCAAATGGATCCTACAGTCATAATTTGTTCGGAATATAAAATTTTTCATTGGGGAGACTAAAATTTGACTTTTGAAGGCACATGCCAGGCTGTAAACCCAGTCGAAGAGTCTTTTTGAGCCTATTTTGGCTGTATCTTAAAAAATCTCCTTGCGCATACTATTTTGTCGTAAAAGGTTGACCTTGACATTTTTCAGTTCTTCGACTCATTTTCAAAAGATTCCGGCATGCATAGCTCGAAACTTCCATTATATTATTAATTATTAGCTTTTTAAGCTGAAAAGTCCCTAAAATTTGTCTATTTGGTACATTTTTGATCAATTTTAGTGAAATGCTTGGTTAGAAAGCTTGCGAATAAAAATGCAATTGACATTTTGAGATGGGCATGCCGGCATTTTTAAAAAATGAATCGAAGAAGTGAAAAATGTCTAAGCCAACCTTTTACGACAAAATAGTATGCGCAAGAAGATTTTTAAAGTTATAGCCTAAATGAGAGAAAAAGGCTCTGCGACTGGATTCAGGGCATAGAATGTGCCTCCCCAATGAAAAATTTTAATAAATACTTGATAAGACATCAAATTTTTAACAAATTTTCACAGTGGGACCTATTTAGGAGAAAATAGCATTTTCACCAGAACCTCCCCTTAACGTCATAGAAAATTTATGTGTGGTGTTTTTGTGTAAAGCTTCGTTGGACACTGCAAAGCCAGTGGTAAGTTAGCTTGCCGCAAATTTCGCAAGCTGGTTTGAATGCCAAAATTAGCCAAGCTTTGACCTGAAATCTTCATAAGCTTGCCAAATTTTGTGAAGCTGGGGGAGCATTTCCGTGCCAAGCTTGCTCATTTTTGGAATTCTAATCAGCTTGCGAATTTTGTGGTAAGCAAACTTACCACTGGCTTTGCATTGAAAATGAAGCATACGCGTAAAATGCTACGAATTCGTAGTGCAGGCACCCTTGCACCTAATTTCGACTTTCTAACTCAAAAGACTTAGGAAATAACAAAAAGCGCTCCGCTAATTTTTGTCTGTAGTATCTTGTGTCACGGCTTCTGTTCCCTGTTACACGACGCCTCTTTGTTGCAGGTTGTCGCCAGCATTGCGGCGTGCCGCGAACTTAGATCTCTTACTCTGAAACTACCTGCGGGACCGTTCAAGATGAATCTGATGAGTGCCTACAAAAATCACACGAGGCGAATTTATCGTCAACTGCCCAAGGAGCTCACCCACCTGGAGCATCTCAAGGTTTGGTCGTCAGTCCGATTCCCTGTCATTCTTGTACGAGTGGCGAAACTTCACTTACACTCTTATCCCAAGAACGTGACATCACGTTCAAACGCACTGAAAATCCAAGTGTGGGACAGGAATGCACTAAAATACATAACGTGGGACAAGCGTGGGACAGTTTGTCCCACGTTATCTAGTGCATGCCTGTCCCACAATTGGATTTTCAGTGCGAATGTGACAAAGTGTCACGTTCGTTTGAGCACACTGAGAATGAATTGGTCACCACCATCACCCTTTAAATGGGTAATGCAACTTCGTTACCCAAATTTTGGTGACGAAAAATTCATCACCCGAAATTTGGTAACAGGCGTTTGGTCGCCCAAATTTGGGTAACGCCGTCGGCGACGCCGTGAGGTTCCCGATGACGTCCTTCCGGGGCCACCACGATGACCGGAGGCCTCAACGCCCCATTGGGTCATCATGGTGGCCCCGGAAGAACGTCATCGGGGACCTCACGGCGTCGCTGACGACGTTAACCAAATTTGGGCGACGATTTTATGACTGCCCAAAATTTGGTCACCGCGGGCTCGTCACCCAAATTTGGGCAACGGTGCGTGCGTTACCCAAATAAAGGGCGATGGTGGTGACTCTTTCATTCTCAGTGCATTGTCAGCCCTAAATGAGCTTGTTGACATTCATACGAATGTGACACAATGCTCAGACGAACGTGACTTTTTGTCTCATTCGTTTCAACGTGATGTCACGTTCTAGGAATGAGAGTGAAGGTGGCCCCACAATGGCCCCGGAACACGGGCTTTAGGCCTCAGGCTTCAGGCGTCAGCCGTCGGATCAGGGCTCTGTAACGTCTGGTTTCGCCCCTATCCCATAAATTCGCTACAAATTCGCCATGTTGTCACAATTTTCGTCGAAATAAATACATTCTCCGAAAGAGAAGTGCCCCCTGAAGCCCTGAAGCCGGGTCCGCCCACGGCCATTGTGGGGCCACCTTAGAGTGTAATGGTGCAACAAGAACGAAAGGCCCTGTCCATATATGCACAGCTCGCTGTCCGGAGCTCCCGCCCAAAAACTTCATGCGCTCCGCCACCTTTGATCTTCGCGCAACTTCCTGCACGTGATATCCTTTTTAAATCATTCAAACCCGTAAAAATAACAGAGATCAAAACGTTGCACGAGATTCATTCGGCAACTACGCTCGGAGAGGCGCGTCATACGAAGACGGATAGGCGTCATATGAAGACGTGGAACTGTTTCGTATTGTGGAGAAATCCTCCCTATTGCGAAGGATTTTGCTTCGTACCGTTACGAATTATTCCTTCGTTAATTTTCCAACGCCAATGCGTTGGCTTTCTTTGTATTATAAAGTGATGTTTAGTACACTTTTGGGTGCGGAGTGGCCCTCACAGTCAAAACTCAACGAAGAATCGCTTCGTAATACAAAGAAAATGAAGGCATTGTGTAAAATCAACGAAGAAATGCTTTATATCATGAAGCAAAATCCTTCATAATACGAAGCATTTGTGCGTAATACGATTAAATTCTACGATGCCTTTATTTTCTTCGAATTTATGAAGCAAATGCTTTGAAGGTATTTTTGAATGCAGTTCGTAACAAACTGAGACTTTATTTGGCAGCAACTTGATGGTTTGCATTCTGTTGCAGCTGCTGCTGCCGTGCCCGTTCGACGTGGACTCCAGCGCTCACACAGACGACGGCGAGGGCACGGGCCTGGACGAGCTGGCGGCCGGCCTGCGGAAGCACGGCGGGGGGCTGCAGTCCGTGGAGCTGGTGGTGCTCTGCGGCTCTGCCACGCGGGAGTCTCGCGTCGAAGCGAACGAGGCCAGACTCCGGGCCGCACTGCCGGACACCGCTGTTGTCAAGGCGCGAGTGGAGAAGAGCCATTGCCACTGCACTGATGACACGGAGGACGACTATGAGAACGACTACGACGATATGGTGGACGCGTTCTATGAAGCCAGCAGCCGCGACGCGTCCAGTTACTACTCGTCTGACGAGGAAGGGGACGATGATTAATTTTATGCTTCCATGACCACCAGTGACAAATGCGTCGTTTAAAACAAGTTCCCGCATCGAAATTTTGTCTGAACTTCAGTAACTTGGCTCAGCGAGAATGGCTGTGTAGTTAACGCTATATTTCTTTATTTAACGCACGTATACAACATCCATGCTGTATTTAGGCATCGCACTAATTACATGGCATTTGTGATGTTACTAGAGCTTTACGGTAAGCTCAGATTTCCAGTAGTTCGCATTCAAGGGATGACAGTGAAATGTTGGGTGCCACCTTTGATACGGCAACTGATTTTTGCTTTGACTGTATGTGTAGAACTGACATCAATTTGTTGTGAAACTGTTTTTCAAGTTAATTTTTTAGTTGTTTCCAAGTTAAAGTAGTCACATCACTTTTAAATTGCACATGGTGTGCTACGGCTGTGATTTTGTCTTCGTTTTGTTTTCTTGAACATTTCTGTTTGCCTGATTCCTTTATATTCGACTGTGTCGTTTTTGTTAATCAGGGTAATTACTGTAACATCTGGCACTGATCTCATTTATCATTATACTCCGGTTACAAGCCATCCAGGATCATTTTAGTTGTTGCAAATGTTTCATAGACTAGTTTGTTACTTCGACCTATGTGAAATATCGTATTCGAGGTTTAAAAGAGGTGGGTGTCTATACTATCTCAGATATTTTGGTCAAAACACCAAAGAATTTAGTCATTTTTGAAATAAAACCTACAGAAATTTAGAAATTTACTCAAGGTTCTTTTATTTATATATTTTTAAAACACCTTCCCAGTTTTGATTTGTTTTTTCCATTTCCTTTAAATTGAGTCGAATCTCCCTTACCATCAACTTGGGACGACATGCCAAGGTTCTGAATTTTCTCCTTTCACTGAATGTACTCTGGCTTCTTGATGGTAATATCAAGAGGCGAGCTCAACTCTGACAGCTATGTATAATATGACATTGATCGAAGGGCAGAACTGGTGACTGCCTTCATTTGAGCACCAAAAAAGATCTAGACAGCACGTTACTTACTCTAATGCATGATTCATGAAGCGGATGAAAGGAATAACTTGATTCATGTCCAAATTGACTTTTTGTTTTATTATTGTGCATCAGGATGGTTTGCATCATAACACCAAATTATTTGACTCAATTACCAGTGGTTTTGGAGAAAATCCACATGGAAAACGGATATGACTCAACTTCACCCCTTTTACGGTCTAAATTTCATCGGAAATGGAGATCAATCAAGCGAGTGCATATGGCTCCATTGCACAAAATTTCAAAAGCTGATGACCTAACTTGCATTTTTATGAATCCAATATAATGGGAGTGATCTCATCTTTAGTGCTCTTTCATTTTAGACGCTAATTGGAAAGAACAGTTAACTCCAAATATGTAATATTAGAGCTATATGGACTCGGTGCAGACCTCAGCCCCACTAGAATTGTCTCTAAATCCCACCTCGTTTGGCAGAACTAAGTAAACATGGCTCCACAGTCGACTCGTAACAGACGGAAACAGTTTAGGAAGTGACCTTATACTTTCAAAAATTTTCACTTATTACTTACGGTTTTTTTGACAAAAATCCATTGGCATCATTCACTTGTTTGTATTTCGTTTCCCCTGCAAATTTTTTTTTTTTGTTTCTCCTGAAAAGTGATAAAAATTGAATTATCCCCGTCTTCCGCTTCATAGATCACGGGTTTGTGACTTATTCGTGTACTGTTCGCAAGAACCATTTTGTTGTGACAATCTCTCAAACGTGCCATTTTCACAATCGGCTGCAGGGTTACACATCTGTAGAGGTTGAAAGAGTCAGTGCACGCCTGGACCCTGAAAGACATGGAGATATGGCCTCCCCCAAAACACTGTGGACCAAAAAATAAGCACCGTCTGTTGGAAACGCCCCTGATTCGCCGCGTTCAAACGAATTGAGAGGAACCACGACAACGTTGCGAGACGTCCAGTACTTCAATTAGGCAGTTTTGGACTCCTTATAACCCCCCCCTTTATTCACCCTCTCCATAACGTTTCGAGAAAATCCTCCCCCCCCCTCCGATCCGTGTTTTTTACAAAGCGATGCTTCGAAATTTTTTTTCAAACGCAGACGAAATTGCCATGCCATTGCCAACCCTGTTTCATCGCAAAGTCAATGTCCTGCTTCACCTCATTGTGGTTCTGAACAATGCGCTGTCTCTCTCCCTCTTTTTCGGAACATCCCGTGAGTGCGAGAGAGACAAGACAGCGAAGGCGCGAAAGCGCACTGTGGGAATCGGCCAGGCCCTTCTCTCCGCGTTGTGAAATCCCAGTGCACTGCGGGACGCGGATGTCGGGGAAAGGCCCCGCAAATGAGGCGGTAAGGGAGGGTGGGGCACACTGGCACAGGCACGGGGCAGTTACGGACACGCAAATTTTCAAAGATTCCGTCAAACCCCTGAGATATCCCGTTGCACGTAGAGAGTCGGTGTTCATCTTAGTTGGGCTGCAGAGAAAACTTTGGATTTTTAAGAAAGTTGTGCCAGCTAAATGAAGGCCAAAGTTTCTGATCCAGTGGCGTGCGCAGAGAGAGAGAGAGAGAGAGAGAGAGAGAGAGAGAGAGAGAGAGAGAGAGAGAGAGATTGAGTTTAGTTTATAAAAGTGTTATTGGGGGGTTTTGAAATGTACAACTCGGGCCAAAAGGGGGTGTAAAAATTTGTCACAAAATGAGAGAGAGAGAGAGAGAGAGAGAGAGAGAGAGAGAGAGAGAGAGAGAGAGGGAGGTTGGAGGGGAGGGGTTATGACCTGTCCCTTAGACCACTAGACAGCTGCCTGGAAGGTAGGCAAATCTCGTCACAATTTCCCTGTAAGTAGGCAAAAAGCATGCACCCTGCCCCTAAAAATTTCTGCGCACGCCACTGAACTGATCTTTCATTTTGGAGACCTTCAACTTTGCCTGGGTTCCGGCTTTGTTATCGATGAGTCAACGATTACGAGACAAAACTTTGCAAGTCTATTGATTCTGCTTTGAACTCTATGTACTTGATCGAGAGCAGCTCCAGACAAAAAAAAACACTTGGCCGGAGACCCCCTCAGATCTGGCTCACTCCCGGTTTTTTTCGTTCCTCTAGTGAATACGAATTGCCGAAACACAAGTTGCGCCGGATCCAACACCAATTGGCTTTTTGGTAGAGGTCAAAAACCCTAAAAATGTCTGTTTTTGAGGGTTTGGTGCTTTTTGGGTTCCCGGAACCTGCTGGTCAAAAAATCTACCAAAGTACCTTTTCCGAAAGAAAAAAGTGCGCTCTTTCGAATGCCGGGTCGCGCGAGGTTCTACGAGGTCGGGTTTGGACGCTACGGGCTTTCAAAGTTGCTCAATTTCACTATTTTTAACTGAAGATTTGAGCGTATCAGGTCCGTTCGAAGTAGACCATCGGCGATTTCGCTCCTCTTTGGCTTTTTTCTTTCGGAAAAGGTACTTTGATAGATTTTTGGCCAGCAGGTTCCGGGGTCCCAAAAAGCACCAAACCCTCAAAAACAGCCATTTTTAGGGGTTTTTGACCTCTAACAAAAAGCCAATCGGTGTTGGATCCGGCCCAATTTGTGTTTCGGCAATTCGTATTCACTAGAGGAACCAAAAAAACCGGGAGGGAGCCAGATCTGAGGGGGTCCCCGGCCAAGTGTTATTTTTTTGTCTGGAGCTGCTCCGAATGAAAAATTGGTGCCTGGAGCGAGTGACAAAGCCATATAAACTTTGGCCCAGAGCAGTTCTCATGTGCGTTATTTTTAGTAAAAACAAATGAATGAGCATTGAGCAATGAGCAAGGGCCGTACAAATGGGTAAAAACCAAAAAACTTTTTGGACCGTTAAAACCGTTCAGAAAGTTCCTCCACGTCAAAGTTCGCATCTGAAAGTTTCAGACCTGGCGAGGGTGACGGACTAGAGGTTTGCGTTTTCACACTGAAAACGTAATGGTCGGACACATAGCTAAATTATGGCGTGACAAAAAGTCACGTCAATAATTAGCGTGACACAAAATTCACGCCGAAAAAGGGCGTGACATGTGAGTCGCGCCCTCATGTGGCGTGAATGACGACGCTTTTTATGAGAAATGTCATGCCAAAAAGTGGCATGACAAGAAATTCACGCCAAAAATTGGCGTGAATTTTTGAGTCACGCCGATTTTTGGCGTGACTTTTCTGTCATGCCGTTTAATGGCGTGACACTTTATTTACGCCCCTACAGCGGCACGGAGTCACGCCGATAGATTTTCAGTGCAGCGGAGGGAGATTCCCAATGTGTTGGTCGCGTTTCCTGCACTCGTAGAAATCTAGTCAGAATGTCCGGAAACGTGTCTGAAAACCTGATCAAAATTGGCGCATTTCTGAAAGCTGAAAGCATATTCTGACATTCTGCAGAGTTCAGGCCATCAATATCAGCATAAGTTTGCAGAATTTCAGGTTTCAGAGGTGCGCGAATTTTGATCAGGATTCCAGACAGTCTCTGACCTTCTGACAAAATTTACACGAGTGTGGGGTCACGCTACTGCTACTCCACGCTTGAAATTATCGTCCACTCCACCACTGAATGCACATTTTTGCAGTGTGGCAAGCGCTGTGTGGAATTTCACCTGGAACTTTCTACGCCCGTTGTCCGCCCCACCTCCTGCCTCCACCCGCCCCCGCCCCGCCCTTCCGTCCACCCCTCCCGCCTCCACCCGCGCCGCCCCTCCGCCTCCACCCCTCTCCCTTCGCCCGCCGCTGATTCCGAGCCATGCGTTCGTCGCTCGGTCTCTCTCGCACTCATGGGGCGGTCCGTAGAGGTGCGAGAGAGACAGAGCGACGAAGCAGTGTTCTGAATCAGCCTCGCTGCCGCCACTCCGCCCCGCACAGTGTGCCAGAAGACCGATGGAGGCGGACAAAACTCCAGACGTGTTTTGAGCCCCCGAGCCGCTAAACAGGCTTCGAACCGAACGTGTGACCCCTCCAATGGATGCCTCGTTCGGAGAACAACACATTGGTGGGGTCACACGTCCGGGTCAAGTCCCTTTAGTGACTCTGGAGCTCAAAACGCGTCCAGAGTTTTGGCCGCCTCCACCGGTCTTCTGGCCCACTGTGTCCCGGCCGCGGTCTTTCCAGCCGGGCGGCGCGGCGATCCGCCCTTCACCACCGCGGCCCGGGAATGTCCGCCCGCAGGCTGGCTCCGAACTCCGCTCGCTCTGTCTCTCTCGCACCCCTACGGGACGCCCCGTGAGTGCGAGAGAGACAGAGCAACGAAAGCATGGCTCGGAATCAGCGGCGGGCGAAGGGAGAGGGGTGGCGGCGGAGGGGGACGCCCCGTGAGTGTGAGAGAGACAGAAAGCAGCGCCCTTTCCCCGCGCTGCGTTACGCCACTCCGCTCGCCCCGCCGCCGCGTTGCAGGTGCAGAGTGCGGGCCCAGTCAGTCAGTTCGGTCCCGACAGCTCGACGGTGCGGTCGTGCGCGGCCTCCGCCACGGCCGCGGCCTCGCGGCAGAGACACTGCAGCAGTCCACCGGCAAGCCGCGGCCTTGGCCGTCCCAGCCGCAGCGGTCACCACAGCGGTCGCCAGCAGTGCCACGCAGCGGGCAGCCACACCCTAAGCAGCCGTTTCTTGAACCAAGACAGTCGACTTGCATCGGGTGAATTCGCTTGAAACACTCAAGTAAATTCGCTTGACGCGTTTTATTTTGGATCATGAAACGACTTTTTTGGTGCGCCCGCCGCGACGCGCCCAGCCGCCTGACTCCG